AAACAGAATGCCTACCTTGACTTCCCAAGAGCCAGATCATTTTGATCTTGACTATTTCCATAACAAGTATAATGATCGTTATGGTACAATGATTAGAGAAGTGCAACCTACACAACTTAAAGTGATGCCATTCGCATTTAATCCATCCGAATACAATATTGCCAAATCTCTTCATTACTTTAAAATTCTTACTCAACCTACTATTGTCTGTTGTTACTGTCAAAAATTCCATACTCTCTTCACTTCTAGCAATCTTAACATCCCATCTAGACAAGCTACTTCTCACCCTTCTTCTCAAAAATCAATGTATATGGATATTGATATTATATCTAAACAAGTCAAACAACTTAAAGAAATTATTCTTCAATCACCTATTACAAAAACAACTACTGTTCTCCCATTACCATTTCCTTTAAACTATTCTACAACTCAACAAGGAACCTCATCTAGTTCAAAACAAACTCCTCAAATCCAAGCACATTCTCATCATGCACATACTTGTATTATTTATCAAAATAAAAACATCTTATGTGCTTTCCTAGAAAACAATACACATTCACTTCTCGACAAATCTATCCTTATTATCAAAGGATTTCCAGCACATCCTAAATGCATTCATAAACTTAAACCTATTACTCAAACCAAACCACTTATTTCTATACAAATTCAAATCACTCTTGTAATCAAATTTATTATATTATCTAAAGAAGAGAAAATTTTAACTTTCAAAAAATTCTTAGGATTATTAAAGCAAAATAAAATCAACAAAATCAACAAAAAATAACAAAACCTATATCAAAAATAACCTATCACCAAAAATCCTCTTATTTTAAACTTACATCTCTTACTTCTAATACAGACGAAACAAATAATAACGAACAACAACAACAATACCAAAAACCTAATGAACAATCTTACAGTCAAGCAGCAAGACCTAAACTTAACCCATCATTTGACTGGTTAGCAAATTTTCCAGTTATCGATGAAATGCAAAACTATACAAAATTAGAAACTGAAATATCATGTCAACTCTTCAACTTTCTTAAAGAACACTTATACAATTTTTATTCTGATAAAGTCCTTAAAGAAGTTACAAAAACTAAAAATGTACTTAAAGCTAGTTTTTATTTGTTGATTAGACAAATGACTAGTACTAGACCAAAATTTCTTATTGACCTAATTCAAAAACATAATTCTAAAACAGATAAAGCTACAACAATCCCTTTCAACATTTTAGAAAAAAGTCTTAAAAAACTTATTCATACATTCACAACTGTTTTCTTTACTAAACTCAATTATCCTGAAATATTTGCCTCTCCTGCAACAATTCCACCAATTAAAACTGAAAACCGCTTACAATTTTGTCTCAATCTCGCTCGTTTACATCTATATCTTTCTAATAACTATCAAGCAATCAACTATACAAAATTTGCTGAAGATATTAAACTTAGACCTAAAAGGTTTAAAATAACATCTGAAGTTACTGATTTTGACAAAGAACAACAATATCTTTCTATCAAAATGGATAACCACTTCAATATCAAACTGAATTTTAACCTTCTGAAATCTCTTTTTCTTGACAAATATAATATACCATCACTTAAAAACTCACTTAGTCATTTTAATGAATGGTTTGAAAAAGCCTTCCCATTATATAGCCGACAATTTTCCAATACAATTAATAAAACCAAAGTATCTAACTACCTTAAATATGAATTTAGACAACACTTTATTTCATATCTCAAAAACCTTTTGCCAACTAATATTGAATTCATAAAACCAACTAATCTACAAGAACGACGTCATGAAACCTTTAGACATGCCAATTATCATATCCTTACTTGTATAAACTCCAAATGCCCTTATCTTGAACCAACTAATACAAAAGGAAAAACAAAAGAAACTAACACAAATTCAAAGAAAACCTTCATACCACAACCAATACACAACTCATCTACATTCATTAAAGATATATTTGAAACATTATACAAAACCCATCCCAAAGAAGATACTGAATCATGGAATAAGCCTTTCCTTGATGCATCTATAATCTATATTAAAGGCAAACACGAAGCTACATTCACAAAACCAATCTCTACTTCAACCCTCAATGAACTGGCAACAAAGGCAGAAGAGTACACTTGTTCTTCTAATGTTGTCAAAACTAATCCTAAACGACAAGGCTTCTATTTCTACCAATATTTATCTATATACCATAATACTGCCACTCAAAATCATAATATTGACAAAATGGATAAACAACAAGCCATCGAATTTCTTACACCAAAATTAATTGATACTGACTTCCTAGCCTGAGTCATTACATATTTTAATTGCACATGAGGCAATTCTCTAAATTACTCTGAAATAACCAAATTCTATAAAGAAAAAGCCTTACCAGAGGCAGAAACAATTTTTCACAACAAATTCAATATCAAATTTGAAATACCTATTTCAATTAAGGAGTCACTTTTCTTGAAAAATGAAAAAGAGGCTTTTTTTCAATAAATTCTTCTGTAATACCCATAAAAGCAGCCACTGCTTCTGGAATTATGATGTCCTCTATTAATAATGGGCCATTTCCAGAAGAGAATGATGTAAGTGGACAGGTGGTTAAGTCCATTTACATGGAGAACCAAGTTTATGTCGACCAGACTCAACGCACAGAGCAGGTCATGGCACTCTTCGCAGCTGTGAGAGCTGGGCATACAGTGAGCAAACCTACAGAAGAATCTTCTATTTCCTTGAATTTCACTTCATCATCAAACATTAAGGAAGCATCATAAGAACTAATTTATGATCCAGACTTATGCTATAACCAATGGCTAGCATGATTAAATCTACCTCTATTTCCACATCCACAAACACTTAATGCCTTTCTAAAACATATCTATCAATACAACTTTATACAATACAATAACTTTAAATATACATTCAGATTAGCAATTAAACTTGATTATAGTGAATGCTACATACACCCACCACATGTGTCCCAACTCTTAACTGATTACTTCTTCTCACATCTATCAGGTTATACCTACTACCCATCTATACCTATTCTGTCTAAATTCTCACCAACAAATGATAACATATTAGATACTAGCTTAATTATAA